AAAAAAAAAAAAAAAGGATTTGCCAGGGAGATTGTCATCTTCAAACAGATATCTACTGCATAGCCTAGTGTTTATGCTGAGAGTTCTATGACAGCACTCCTCATCCAAGTGATATGCTATTAAGAACCACTAGTATATATATTGAACTCCACTCAACGGCTGTCAGCGTGCCCATACTAACGGCGGTACTCCACTTGCTCTTAGAGATTGCTGTGAATGCAGATGCTAGACAACCTAGGTCTACGGGCTCCACGGATATATGGAACCTCTATATATGGACAAATCAACTAGAAAGAAAGCATCGATGGTGGTGACGGTGAACAAGTTAGGACATCGAGTAGGCACAAAGGCGGAAGGATCCATTGACCAATCGTGCCAAGACTCAGACAGTCGATCTTATCGCAAGAAACGCACTGCGAGCATCTTCCCCAACCTCCAACTTCCGGAGCTTTCGCCGTTGACTCACATAGATAATCTCTCGTGGATAGGAAGTGAGCTCTACAGGTTACCTAGTTTGCTGTCACTCTGCGGTATTTGTTCAGGAGCTTCCGGCCAGTCTAAAAGCCTCCCCCCCACACTGGCAGGAGTTTCCGCATTCCCCTTGCCCTGCCAATCAAACCCATATCCTGGTAGTCGTATACCTCCCACTGCCTGTGTATGCTCGAACTGCGAGCATTGGCGTGTTTTGCCCGCGACTCTATCTTCCTTGACTCGATTCTACTACTTTTAACCATGAGTTATTAAAGATCTACTGAACTGCAGTTCTCTAGCTCTGGTGCTACCCACACAAGTAACCTGTCTTGAAATAAATGTTTCTTCTCTTTCCCCTGACCAGCTCTCTGGATATCCAATCTGCACAGTAGCCTGTGGAATTTGCCTGCATTTCTTTGTTTCGGGGGACTAGAGCGTGGTGCGTCTCTGGGAGTGGCTGGTTAATTCACTACGAATCTTGACACAACAGCACTGTATGTTATGTTGTTGCCTTCCAGATCAAACCCATCCTGCTTCATCCACCCTGTGTCAGTCCATACTAACCGACTCGCCATAAAAGGTTTTCTTTTATCTGGGCCCTTGATTAGTGTTTGACGAACAAAGAGTTGAACACATGGAGGTAAGAGATACGGTTCCTTTGCTGTTCCTTTTTCTGTGGAATCTTTCTTTCTTTATGTATCATTTCCTGGACCCGCTGTACGACTCTGACTTGTGCTATTGCTTGTTGGGGAGAAGCTGTGTTATTATCTCTTACGTGCCAAGTACCACTTTGCAGCAGGGTTTTCGGTGACTTCTAGCTTGCAGTGTCTCAGACCACTCATACTGTTGCTACGTGAACGAGCCCTGGAAATGCGTGCACAAGATACGAGAAATTTGGAGGACTACTACGAGTGAGCTTTGGGTTGCTAACAAGTTATCTAGCCGGCAGGACATACCGCGCAGGCGAAGCCGGGGCAGGTTTCCACCGGCAAACCTCAAGATGCCAAACCCCGTCTGTTATTGATGGGTCTCCGACGGTAAAGTTATCTCCTTTCAGGGATGATCAGGGCTTCATTGACCATGAAACAGGAGTGGGAAATCATCGATCGCTAGCGTCGTTTTCCACAAGATGCCTCCTAACGAAACGCTCTTTCTGGAATCAACTACTCGCATTCAAAAAGATTCCATCCAGTAAGTACATCCTTCCGACACGAGAAAAGCACCCATGCTTATGGTCTATCAAAGTTCGTTTATGGACTTCCAGGTTTGGGACTTTCCAGGTCAGCTTGAGTACTTGGAGCCATCTTTCGATCTCGAAGACATTTTCGGAAGCCTTGGAGCACTCGTTTGGGTCATTGATGCACAGGATGACTACCTGGACTCGGTCGCACGCCTGAATCGAACCATCTTGACTGTCCAGCAGTATTACCCTAACATCAACATCGAAGTCTTCATTCACAAGGTTGATGGGCTCTCAGAAGAATATCGCACCGATACATTCCAGGATATCGTACAGCTCATTTCAGATGAACTTAGTGATGCCGGATATGAAAATGCGCCTGTTCACTACTACCTCACGTCTATCTATGATTATTCCGTCTTTGAGGCATTTAGCAAGGTGATCCAGAAGCTGATCCCAAATCTATCGACTCTGGAGAACCTAATCAACACACTCGGCAATAATTGTGGATTTGAGAAGACCTATTTGTTTGATGTTCTCAGCAAGATCTACATTGCGTCTGATACTCGCCCAGTTGATATGTCCTGCTATGAAATGTGCTCGGACTATATCGATGTGATTGTGGATATCTCAGAACTCTACTCATGGGACCACCCCGACCGCAAGCCCAAAGGCGAGCAAAATCATGAGGCAGAGAGCCATGTGGTGCTGCACGACGAGACCATGATCCATTTGATGGAAATGAACAAGTATGTTTCAATTTTGCTTCTTACCGAGTAGGAGAAACTCTCGCTGACTCTGGCTAGATATCTTTGTCTCGTGTCCGTCATACGCAATCCTGAAGCGAAGGAGAAGAAGGGTTTGATTGATATGAATTGCCGCACTTTCCAGGAGGCCCTCAATGATGTCTTTTCTCGCAGCTGGGAACAGGATCAGGAAGGGTCCGAACAGGGTCAGGTGACGGAGCATGGCGAGCCAAGCTCGAATAACTGATATCAAAAATGTCTCTACTATGGCGTTGGAACATCTACGGAGTGGTGGTTCACTATTTGCCCAGTTTAGCACCTCGAGAAGCGTATCTTAAGTGCAATACCAATTTCTATGTCGAGGCATCCTGACTTTATTTGACTTATAAAGCTCAGTTATATTTTAATTTTAATCTGCGAAGTGTTACCTAGTAAACAAAAGCTCTTGCTTGATAGAACATGATATTATGAGTCTGTGGTATCTCAAGAGACAGATTAGTATTTGCCTCCCCTTTACTGGCTGACTCTTTATAAGTGCAACATGGCTGTAAGAAGCTGAGGCACCAAGGCACCCAGAAGCGGGCCCACGCTTGGCACTAGCGCGAATTTTTCTTCTCTCTTGAAGCATAAAACGAGCTCCTCTTCAATTTTTTTCTTCTCTTTCCTCAACTCAACCGTGCAACGCACACACTCCTGAGTTGACCTTGTGGTCACTCACTCAAGCATAATGAAGCTTGAAAGCAGCATATTAACATGTCACATCAACAATCAAACTCGGTTTCACTAATGCAATGGTAAGTCCAAGCAGTTTTATGATACCCAACAGTGCACTTTCTTTCCAACCCCCTCCCCTTTCTCGATGATGAAAATTTTTCCCACATTCGCAGTTTCCACGCTAGCCGTCGCTAGAACCCAATCTAGACGTGCTCTGTGCGCAATACTTCCTTGGATGTCTGAGAGATTCTATCATACAGCTTGATTTTTTATTTCAGTTGCATGTTTGGGACTGTGACTGACATGCATTTAGTATTCTCTAGGTTCTTGCTCAGATTGAGTACATCTGAGGGTGGGGCTACTGGTGTGAATAGCTTAGAGATTCAGGTTGCCGGTGGACTGCTGGTCGGTCTTGCCGTCGAAGAGTCTGGTTGGAGCTTGGAATAGTCCATGAGATTTGTCCAGATCCGCTTCAGATAGAGTGCTTAGCAATATAATGGAATGAATGGGATTATTTTTGAGACACTGCATCATCTTCAAGTTTGTAAATCCGTAATTGCGCCAGTATGTACCCACGATAGATTTCCCATTACCACATGAATATCGAGTTGAAAATGACCAAAATCAAAAAACTCGAATTCTCCGCCGAAATTATCCCAAAACACCGATAGAATTAATATACCTAGCATACAGAACAAGTGTCACGTTGTCATCTCACCACCCGAAACAGAAGCGGAGAATCTACGGAAATTACCCCCAGGACTGCACTTCCCAACTGACCAGCACTCATAAACCTCCCAAACCCAATCTAACCAGACCAAACTCTACTCTACACTACAAAAAAGTTGAAAGCGACCATGTCCTCCTCCCTCCGCCAGCGACAGGTCCCCGCCGGCAACGAACCATCTACGTCCAAACAGACCGCCCAAAAGGCCAAGTCTCGCAATGAGAAGACCGGCCCCAGCGTCCTCGACATCATCCGTGTGGTGGTCACGCTGATCGTCGCATCATGCGGCTTATCCTACTACATGACGTCGACGGAGTCCGTGCTATGGGGCTACAGGCCGTGGTTCACTAGATGGCCGGTGTTGGTCCGGTACTTGGTATGTTTGGCATCGCTTTCTATACTCACGTTGAAATCACCCGCCCACTTGCGGGTGGTTTGATTCTTTGATTGGTGGGATGGAAAAGGGAATGCGGTTCACGTTAGCTAATGAATCACACACAGCAAGGACCTCTGAGCCTCACGCCCGAGCAACTCGCCCTCTACAACGGCTCCGACTCGGCTCTCCCCATCTACCTCGCCATCAATGGCTCCGTGTTCGACGTCTCTGCGAACCCGCTTGTGTACGGACCGGGCGGTCACTACAATTTCTTTACGGGGAAGGATGCCACGCGCGCGTTCGTCACGGGCTGTTTCCAGGAGGACCAAACGCATGATCTGCGGGGTGTCGAGGAGATGTTCATCCCGCTTGATGAGGAGGCGGAGCTGAAGACGCTGAGTAGTGGGGAGAAGAAGATCCGGCGCGAGCAGGATCGCCGGCTTGCTCGGACCAATGTGCAGAAGCAGGTACAGCATTGGGAGAATTTCTTCCGCCATCATAAGAAGTATTTCGAAGTTGGGAAGGTTGTTGGGTTGGAGGTGCCCGAGGAGCAGAGGGAGCTTTGCCAGGCTGCTAAGCAGCAGAGGCCTAAGAGGAGTAATATGAAGAAGGGAAATTAGGGACATTGAGTGGTTTGATTCATGGGTTTGTATGTATATATATGGGCGTGCTGTTTTTGCCGGTTATCGCGTGCGCTACATTGCTGATAGGTACTTTGCTCTCTTATCTGTCGTCTTTCATACTTGGCGGTTCCCGCATGCGTTTCTTAAACTGTATATGGTTGCGGTTGTTTGCGAGGGTCGTTTCTTGGTCGATTCTAACAGGCATTTACGTGATACGTGCAGTAGCGGAAAAGCAAGAGTTCACTCCGAAATTGATTGATTCATTGAACCACTATACATCATTCGCCCAGCCAAGCTTCCGAATTTTGAGAGATATCATTCGTAAAATATGAGAGGACCGCGAGAAAAGACTAGTGAGGAAACGTTTACTCAGCGGTAACGGCACGGGCTAAAGCATCAGTTAGTATATGCGCAAAAAAGTCGGTATCCAGCGGTTCACGGGCGAAGACGTACTGTAGATGTTCAACTTGGAGTGGCCGACAACCTTCTTGATCTGGCCCTTCTCCTCAAGGTCCTCAAGAGCCTTACGGGCGAGGGAGCCGTTGATCTTAAGACGGTCGACAAGGGTGGCGACGGTGATGAGACGGTAAGACTGGACGTCCTTGTTGAGACGCTCAGCGACCTGCTTCTCGAGGACAACGGCGTGCTGGGCCTTGTCCTTGACTGTTTGCAGAGAAAAAAACCACGTCAGTTATTATTGTTCCACTAGCCGGTATTTTGATCGTCGATTCATGTCCAAACAACCCCTCTGCCCACAAAAGAATCGGGTGACATCTTGCTCGGGAAAAGGTTCGTTCGCTGGGAGGATGGATGGGAGACGGTGATTTGCATACCCTTGCCCTTGGACCACTTCTTGCGTGCGGGAGCCTATGAATAAAATATTAATATAATCTGGACATCCTGCTGTTCGCCCTCCATGTGCGGCATGAACTCACCATCTTGACTGTCTGATCTGGTTGTTCGACGACGGATGAGAGCGCGACAATCAACGGCCGGAAGTGAGAGCCCAAGTGCGAAATTCGAGTGGGGAGACCTTTGGCATCACGTGGGTACAAACCCTAAGCCCTTGTTTGCTCGGTTAGCGGTGGTGGAAGAAGAGGCCTTTTATTGGCCAGCGTTATCTATACAGTATGCCTCAGGCACCGTTGTATACTAGTAGTATCATTCAATACGACCAATGATTACACAGCGATGTGATCTATTGTTATACATGCATGAGCTTCCAATTTGTTGGGGTCTACTAAGGTCGGACTCGCTTGGTATTGCATAAATCATAAATATTCCTTCAGTTATCGGCTCATGCCTGCACTATGGCTTCCAGTAGAGGTTTTACCCTTGATAGTATTAAGTCCTTTGAACTGTGAACTATCACCTTCGCTCTCCATACGACCGAGTGTATACTCTTCAGTCGTTCCAAACCAGAACTTTGAGTCGTCTCCTTGACTGGATGATAGCCATTTCATATCGTATCGCCCGCTGTCGCTTCGTGAAGTAGGAATGTAAATGATTGACGGCTGGCTGTCAGGGCTCCAGGATCGAACAGCAGCAAGAGCATTGTTGGCAGTGATGATAAGTAACTGGATGTTCGAGGGATGCCATGCGACCTGCTTGACAGGATGTTCGTGAACCAAGGCTGATACAAGCACGGCAGTGGACTCCAAGTTCCATATCCAAACAATGTTTGGTCGTGTTTGGTCTACAGTGGCTAGGAGGTTTCCGTTGCAACTGAATGCCATGATTGATACGCCCCGCGGTGGGCCGGATGTTTCTGCAGTTATACTAAAGGCAGAAGAGCTGGACGACTCGGCATATTCAAGGGTGCCGTCTGTAGTTGCGTAGCGCTCACGCCATATACTGGGCGAGTTGTCATCAATTTGGAAGACATGGGATAATGTTGTCGAGCATGAGAACTACATTATCAGTTAACTGGCTGACCCAATATGAAAGAATACCAACTTAGAATGGAATACACGTACTGTTTTGCACCGTAAAATATCAACAGTTCCATCGACCTTGCTGATGGCTAGATATTCCGAGATGCCGCTCTCGTTCGCAACCGGACTCCATTCTATACCTCGGACTCCAAGGTCAAAGGAATCATCGAACCCAGGTGGCCCGGTATAAGTCCTGAAGAGTTGCCCGTCGGCAGTGAATACAAGAACCTTGGTACCCGCACTGGCAGCATCCCAAACGGCTACCCATCTCCCGTCGGGGCTCCATTTCAAGCCTTGAGCGTCTACTGTCGGTAGCACCGCCCGGTTTATTAACTCGTACGATCTGAACCCATGGATAGTCAATAGGTCCACTGTGTCTGGTTTTAATAGGATTGCAAACTGCCCCGTCTTAGGTCGGTACCCGAAGCCATTATGATGAGCAAATTTCGGAGATTTAATAACCTGGCTGCGGCCGGTGTCCAGAGCATACACAGTTAACCTTGTATTCCATGCATGGAAAACTATGACCTCATTTTCATCGCTGCCGAAATCAATGTTCAGGGCACCAGGCTCGATACTTTCGATTTCAGCATGTAATTGCAGCGGGAGCAATTGCCATACCAGAACGCGTGCATCACTGGCATGGAGCACACGTCTCCCTGGTGCAATTTCACCTCTAGCGGCATATGTTTCTGGTGATACAGTGTAGCTCGCTCGTGAGAATTTCAAAAACTTTGACGAGCTTTCTTTGACTTTGACGATTTCTACATCCTGGAACCCAGAAGAGGTCGGGTTGAGGTGCAGAATGAGATCTTTCGCACTTGTCTGAGCAGCATATTCTCCATGCTCAGACAGGGAGATTGAAGACGAGACTGAGCTTCGATCAACATTTGTCAATTGTTGGGAAACTGGTAAACATACCCCCTGCTCCGGTGGAGTCCATTGTTGGTCTTGTCTTGGAAGCGGCGCTAGTAGTTCAGTGATTTAAAACCGTTGAGACAGCTGTTCAAATGGTTGACGGTACCGGTGCATTCAACAGTGTGCATTATATCTAACTGCGCACATGACCGTATTAGTTCCAAGGAAAGTATTCCAAGAGATTTGCAGTCTTGTAGGGTCTCCATTCATTGGGCATGATACACTAGTAATTTCCACTTACGGACGCCAAGCCTTTTCTATAGATTACATAATCAGAATGGCAGTGGGCTACAAAAGGATTCTGTCTTTGACATGGAGTGATAAACATGGATCGAAGAATAATTGACTCTGGCTCTGGATATATTCAGTTTAACAATCGTTATGTTAGAACCCTGAGAGGCTGTGCTATACCCAAGTTTGATATTGTGTACTTCTTTCTGCTGCTGGATAAGATAAGGCGGACCAACGTTGCTCCGGCCCGAGATAAATTGCCATCGAAAAAAAGTTGCCCGCATTGCGAATAATCCGGGGAATAATTTCAAAGCTGATACCTTTCACCGTCATTCATTTCCTCTTAATCCACAACCATAGGGTTCTTGCGCGTTCTTGCCCCGTGGCTGGGGCGACAATCTCCCAAAGCACAACGCTCAAGTCTTATCAAAATGACAATCCCCGATACGCAATCCGTCTCGCAAAGCAACGGCGAGGCGCAAAATGCGCCCGCCAATGCCAACACAACACCGAAGACGAAGCTGTTAGGGAGGGAATTCTACAAGAGTATAGGGAGTCCCAAGTATATTGTGGCGCCCATGGTGGATCGATCTGAATTTGTATTATCTTCACTTTCTATTACCTAGCACACTCCAATCTAACGGCTGATTCTAGGCCTGGCGCATGCTTACTCGGTCGTTCATGCCCCCCGATGATCCCAAGCCTATGCTTGCATACTCGCCTATGTACCATGCGCGCTTGTTCCGTGAACAGTCACAAATGCGTTTGCAACATTTTCATCCCACTCGTGCTGCTATCAAAGGCGATGATACCCCATACTTGGACGGAAACCCCTCGATAGACCGGCCTCTGTTTGTACAGTTCTGCGCGAATAACCCGGATGACTTTTTGGAAGCTGCACGCCACGTAGCGCCATACTGTGACGCTGTGGACCTGAACCTTGGGTGTCCCCAGGGAATCGCGAGAAGGGGCCATTACGGTTCCTTCCTTCAGGAGGATTGGGATTTAATCTACAAACTGATCAATAAGCTACATACCGAATTGGATGTTCCCGTCACCGCGAAGTTCCGTATACAGGAGTCGAAAGAGAAGACATTAGAATACGCAAAAATGATACTATCCGCCGGGGCGAGCATAATCACTCTTCATGGACGCACGAGAGAGCAGAAGGGTCATAACACAGGCGTGGCGGATTGGAGTTACATTCGGTACCTTCGTGACAATCTGCCCCCGGAGACGGTTATTTTCGCCAATGGAAACATTCTAAACTATGACGATCTGGAACGCTGCTTGGAAGAGACAGGTGCTGATGGCGTGATGAGTGCTGAAGGAAACTTGTCTGACCCAGCTGTCTTCAGCAAACCTCCCCCAGTGGGAAGCGAAGGAAGGGAATACTGGCGCGGCCGGGATGGAAAGGGCGGATACCGGATCGATGCTATCTTCCGCCGCTATCTCGATATCATTTATAAATATGTCCTTGAGCAGCCAATTCCGGAGAGGAAACCTCTCTATCTCCCGTCAGATCCAGAGGAGCCGGAACAACCGATAGAGCCCGCCGCTGAGGAAGCTGAGGAAGAAGGGCCGCCGAAGAAGAAGCAGAAACGCGACAAGACGAAGAGACCTACTTCCCCCAGTCTTGGAGTCATGCAGGGACACCTGTTTCAGCTTCTGCGCCCCATGGTGGCAAAACATACAAACGTTCGGGATGCACTTGCACGGTCAAGGCCAGGCGACATGGCCGCCTTCGAGCATACTCTTGCCCTTACTGAGAGAGCAATCAGAGAGGGCCTTAAGGAATACGAGCAATTCCCGGAGCGCTTTGAGGCACCTCCGAACCAAGAGCTCACGGGCTCCAAGGCAACGATTGCCGAATACGGCAGACCTTGGTGGATCTGCCAACCACACATCCGGCCATTGCCCGAGGAGGCTCTAGAGAACGGTGCCCTCACGGAGAAAGGGAAGAAGCCTAACACGAAGCAAGACAAGTCTAAGCCCGAGGCATCTGCAGAGAAAGCTGACACCCCGGCTACCGCTTCTGAAACCCCAACCGACACGGCTACAACACCGGACGCTTTGGTAAGCGGTTAAGATGTTGCGACACTTGTCATTTCGAACCATCTCACCACAGCGTTCTATTTACTCGAAGCGCATAAACTATAGACAACCCACCTACCCACTACCAAAAGACATAATACCCACGACATTGCACTGTATATAGAATTAGACCTTTATGCATAGCACTGCGAATCCCAATATCAATTCATAACATCATGGTATCTAAGATTAAAACCCTCAACCAAATTTACCAACCCAAAACTCCAAATCCATAGATAGAACCAACTATCTAAAAATCCAAAACAAGCTGCGGCGCCATCTTCTCCAAATCCTCGACCTAAAGCCAATCAAGTCAGTAAAAGACCCTCCCAAACAACCACGTCACAGACGTAAAAGAAAAAGAGGAAGAAGGACAAACCTCAAGAAACCCATCCCCAACCCCCCTCTCAACACCCTTCGCTCCCTCCGCCCTCTCAAACGCAGCCCTCGCCAGCGCCTCCCTCACAAACACATCCACATACTTCGCCACGACCTCATTAGCATCCTTGGCGATCTTAGTCTTCTGACCCTTGAAATGGTGATGAACAAGCTTCGTCAGCAGTTTCGGGGGAATCGCCGGCTCGCTGGAGAGAATGTCGTTCTCATCAGGATCGGCATGGACAATCTCCGCAAGGATGTAGTCTGGTTCTTCAGAAGGGGAGCGCGAGCGACTGGAGCCGGCTTCGGATTCGGAGTCCGAGTTCGAGGCTTCTGAGGCCTCGTCGCGGGTGGAGGTTGTAGAGAGCCGAGAGGTCTTGGATGATGAAGCTTTTGCGGTGGTGGGTTTTGCGGGGGCTTTGGCTTTGGCTTTGGTCTTGGGGTTGTTTGGTTTGGAGGTTGATGCGGATGCGGATGTTGAGGGGCCGGCTGTCACTGATGATTGTCGGCTGGGGGGCTTGAAGGGGAGTTGTCTCCTCTTTTTAACGGGTTGGCGCTCGGGGGGCATGGTGAGGCTTTGTGATGTTTAGACTTTGTCCTTTTTTTTTTTCTTTATAGTTTTATTGGGAGCGTTGGTGGTGGAGGGGTGGTTATCGCATTGATTTCTGGATGCGATGACGCGCTGCCATGACGCGAAGTCAGGTGATCTGGTGATAAATATCTATGGGTTTTGTGAAATAGGTGATATTCAGTATAGTTCATGGGGAATCTATAGATTGTAATCACCAGGAGTAATATTCAAGCCATTGGCTTTCTGGTATCGCATATGGAGGAAGAGTAAACTGCATGTGTGGTCCATGTTCATGCACCCAACAAACCACCACGAAGATCCTACAGAAAGAAAGATAACCCCCCAGACAATCAATCATTCATCCTCATCCTCCGGCCGTACAACAGTAAAATCTAGACCCGAGTCTTCCAAAACCCTCCGAGAAAGCTCCCACTTGACACCAAACAGCCCCGAATTAAACCGACACGACCAAAGCGCCCCAGCTCCCGAGTCTTCAGCACGAAGCTCATCAATCTGCCTCACCATATCCGCGACAGCAAGCTCAGTATTCTGGATAATGATATCAGGAGAACTGACCCTCTTCCCGAAATTGCGGGAAGTAAACAGGCAGATGATCCAGTGTTTCTTGCCTTTGCCCTTGTAGTCCGTTTCCTGGGGCGGAATGATGAGAGCTGTGCCCTCTGGTAATCGGATATTCCTATTTCTGGTGGACGATTGTGGATTGCTTGGCTGATCTGGTGGATCTGAAGCTACTATGTACTCCGGACTGAATTTGTACTTCTGGCAATGTGAATGGTAGATGTTGTATGCAGCCGGATACTGTGTTGGTTAATGGTTGATTGATGAGTGGGACAGTGGGTGATATAGTACTTTCTGTTTGAATGCTTTTGCAATCCCACCACCCCAGGACCCGATACAGTTACATGCGTCTGAGATAGTCATATTAGCTGTAAGGACATGTTGATTTCCTAGGTCACGTACGGATCAAGGCTGCTCCGTCTGGCGCGTCGAAGAGGTCGCCTTGAATTTCTCTTATGCTGCTGTTGGTTGCCTTCGAAGCCATGGTGAGGGCATCTCTGTATCTCCTTCACTATCGGCTTGCTATGTTGAGACTTTCAAGTATAGAGAGGCGTTCAAGGATGGAGATGATTAGCAAGTGAGTCACAAGAGGAAGTTGCATTGCGCGGCTCGTATTGTGTCGATTACGGAGTGGTAGTTCCGAAAGAGCGGATGATGTTAAACACAATAGGGCAATTGCCTCATAGCATGTTAAAAGATATCCTGAACTGATATCGGTATACAGAATTAACTACAGCCAGTACCTGCCAATGGGTTCTCGATGTTTCTGAGCCAGCCGGGCCAATTATAAGAAAAGACAACGCGTTCACTTCGCTATGTCATACAACCAAAGACATGGAAACTAATACAGAAGAGAAGGAAGAAAAATGTCCACTATTACCGCTTGTCCTCTACTCCTCCAGTAGGATTCTGCACGCGACGGGAAAGGAAGTGTCGCAGACTCTTGGATCCTCTATTGTTGCCGTGGCTTAACGCGTCCACTTCTCGAGAGCCCTCGCTGTGCAACGAATCATTTCCTCTCGCTGATGTTGACATTCGAGCATCAGTTTCAGGATCCCATGAAGAGGTTGTTGCCTCAGAACGAGGCGCGCTGTGGGCGCTGTTCGATTTCAGCCTTCTACTCAAACCCCGTGAGATGTTTCGGAGGATACCCGGGTCATCGTCGTCGGTCCGGCGTGCGATTTCGCCCATGTAAGTCACACCATTTGTCGCAAAGTTCTCTTCAGGGACTGGAAGATAAAGAACTACACCGCGACACGGTTCAATCTGCAGCAGATCCCCAAGAGCTGACTGGATCAGGGCGGTGCGGCGAAGATTGGTGATAGAGCCTATGAGGCATGGGAGTGTGTAGACCTTCAACAAATATGCTGGGTCCTTCGAGGTACCAAAGCGAATACATACATTCTGCTGTATGGTAACCATCATAGATGATTCGCGCCTCTGATAGATTTGTGCCAAGCGAGACGAGATCACCGATACAAGAGTTTCATCGTCTGTAACCTGAAGGTGCTCTTAGTCCTTAGTGGCTTTCGAGCTCCAAATGGCATGTAGCACAATCTTACCGTCTTGCTAAGCTTAAGCTCAGCCACAATGACTGATGTTTGACTCAATCGATCCCTGAGTGACAGCTCTTGCCCGCGTGTGCTGAAAAGTTCGTCGAAGTACTGGCTCTTTGTCCGATGCATTGGTTCCTCCTCAACGCTTTTACCTATCACATCGGCAGACTTCGGGTCTGCAGGTGTGCAACGAGTCAATTTTGGAAGCATTGAATCATCATCATCGGTCTCCTCAATAAACATGGAAGGCCTAGCGGGCGGCCTATCGAGCTTGTTTCGCTGTGTCATCGTCGTGTCGGAGACGGCTCTGACTGCCAACGCCTGGAATGATACCGGTGATTCAAGGGTGGGAACTGTTGGTGAAAGGCTCGCGGAGGATGTCTGCGAGGGGTCATGTCGTCGTCTCAGGAGAGATAAGTCCAATTTCTGTTGTCCCGAGACCATCTTCTTAATTATGAATGAGATGTGTCAGTTAAAGATTAGGGCGACGATTCTTTAGCTATAGCTAAGTTCCCTATAGCTAGAGCGCCACAAGTGAGTTGTTGAAAGTGAAAAAAAAGGCAGATGAGGAAAGACAGAAAATTGCAGGAGTCGTTCGGCGCTTCCCTTCTCCTTCCCTGGCTGACATCGTCGAGAGCTAGGAGCTCTTCACTGCAACAGGAAGGAACTACTCTCCATGTGGGAGGAATGTACTTCTGCAGTGAACATAGTAGTAGCTGTAACCAAGTTAGTGATACTGTCACTTGTCTTTGCATGTTCCAGGCAGTGATTCCCTCCCAACTGGAATTCGACCAAGAAGTGTAGACAACCGAAAGCAAAAGCTCCACTAGAAGATATTGTGCTAGATATCTTTGTCTCGAGCCCCATCTGATTCGCATCTGATAGATCAAGTATGCTATACTGAGGGCGAAACTCCTTATTGGTAGTGTCTTTCTTCCATGAACCAGGGCCAGCCTCCAGTGCAACACATGTACCAGCTTATGACACAATGTTCCCACAGTATACATGTCAAACAAGATTCCTGGAAGTTAGTACTTCATAGCCTAACGAAAAGGCCTCGTTCTCCTGCCGCTGCCGGCGACTATTGGATATTATCAAGCCAATTAGCATTTGTATCATGATTCATCTGGTTTGAATACTAGTACATAGCCATATGGATCCATTAGTTCTCCATATGCTTCATTTGGTAACATGTACTATCAATCAACCTCGGTGGATTCCATGGTCTTGGTTGGGTTGGCCAGGCAGTATCTGGAACTGTAAACATAAAACGAGTAGGAGAGAAGGGAGACGGAAATATATTAGAACTGGACGATATACAAGTATTTTCCCCGATACTACAGCATATTAGTGGGCCCTGAAAAGATTGCCAGTGCTCTTTTTGATCTTGGGCTCAGTCAATAGAAGCCATTAAATGTCCACTGAGGAATGATTGAATCGAAGGGCGACAAAACAATGTTGCGGTCTTGGCAAATTTATCGTTCGCGTGAGGACCTGTAGAGAAACCCAACTATTGTTTGATTTCCGCGCAACGCGACCCTCATGAAGAGGACTCCCCCACCTACACTTTCCATTCGCTTAGACAAAGCATGATTCCAGTCTAAGAATCTCATCACGATGGATGACGCGACAAAGTCTCTGCTCACAGAGCATTTCAGCTATACTCCGCTGGTCAGTATTCCTGGTAAACGCCTTGTCTCAGGCATGCGCCTCCCTTGCCCCTCATCGACCACTTTTTCTTGAGATAACCGAAGCTGATACACTGATCGCAGTCCCTTGTAGATGATGTGATCAACTCGATCAACAATCTGATCTACCAAGCTATCTCGAGTCTCGAAATCGGCTTGCTCTCCACCCCTCCCGAACGGTTGGGCTTTTCACACGCTAGTAACGGTTCGACCATCCCAGATACAGATGAGGATGGGAACGTTGTTTACCCTGAGGCGAGACTGGAGATAGAAGATGGACTACACAAACTTGAAACCCTTCTGGAGGCGACCGTCGACAAGGCGTTTGACAAGTTCGAGATTATTGTCCTGCGAAACTCGTTTCGAGTGGACGATGACCTGCTAGGGTGGATTCGACTGAAGCATTATGAGGTGCGTGATGTGTTTGGGTGACCATGATCCTGTGTACAAACTGACAATGTATCTTTTTAGGGCCTGGATCTGAACCCGTCCCCCGATGCACCTAGTCCGGACACGATTGTTGCTCTACGCAAAAAATTACAAGAAACCAAGAAATTGAATCGAGCTTTGAAACAAGAGACCGCTCGGAATGATGCGGTCATCTCTCAGCTGCGATCGATCTTATCCACCGTTAAAGGAGTCGACGGCGCGACAAGTGCAAAACCGGAGGGTGGCTCCGAGACGCCTGCACTTCCTACAAACAGCGACTTGGACCTATCATTCTTAACGGAGAGCCCGGCGGCTAAGCAATTACGAGTTGGCGCTGCTGTTGGATCGAATACCAAACACACACCGCTTACCACGAATACCACTTTTATATTATCTCAACTGCCTGCCTTGCAAGCGCTACTGAAGCAGCTCCGGCCCAAGCTGGCTACTCTACCTAAATCGGCGGACGCCACGGAAGCAGATTCTAAACGCGACGAGAGAAGGGAATACATCGAGAGCAGAATCCGCCTGCATCTCGAACGAACTGGCCAGCTTGGGGTGGGCAGTGACGGCAATCCTGTTGTCGCCGGACGAAAGATCGATATTTCCGAAGCGCAGGCGCTCGAGGCGGTCACAGGAATGCTTACGCAAAGTGACAAAATGTCAGAATAAGAAGGACGATGGATGGAAATGGATGGCAGAGTCATACGCCATTGGCTATCGTGATAGCACTCTATTTCTGGCATAAGGTCAATATGGGCTTAGGAAGACCAGGACACGCTCCATGTCTGCTGGTCCCGTCTGAATGGGACCACGTCCACTTTGTCCGACTGCAAAAGGTTTACGATCTTTTCGTCTTTCTTCTCGAGGGTAATGAACTCCTTCTGTTCCTCACCAATGCCATAGAACTGGCGGCCGAATTTGCTCATGAAGCCTTCAACCACCTCAGGGGTGATGTCTTCCTCCTTCAGGATGCCATTTTCACATGCCTGCTCGAAGGAGTCCAACACGACCTGGGTTGTGTATGGCTGGGTAAAGACGCCCGCCGCGATTTTGTCTCCACCCCTCTTGGAGGCTGCCGGGTGAGGGGCACTATCGGAGCCGAAGAAGAATTTGGGGTTGCCAGATGCTGCTGTCCGCAGGAGAGCGTCACGATCCGCAGGAGTTTTAGCGACAGGCTTGCAGAAACAGAACGGGTCTCCAGCCCAGTTGTCGATGATGATGGAAAGATGATGGGCGGTAATGCTTTTGATCCCTGACCGTCAGCATATATCCATTGCAAAGTGTAACCGGGGGACCAACGTTGCTGCCACAGTAGGGCCGCACTTCTTAACGGCTTCTACAGCAGCTGCTGTAGTGCAGTGCTCCAGAATAATGCGGAGCTTGGGGAAACGCTCGTGCAATTGCAACAAGGTGGGGAGGAAGCGCTCCTCCGCCGACAAGACGGTCACATCGCCAGTGGAAGGGACCTCTCCGTGAAGATTCAGAACCATGTCCTGACGCTCCATCTCTGCAAAGACCGGGTAAAACTGGGTATAATCCACCACACCCGAGGACGAGTTGGTGGTAACGCCTGCTGGGTAGCTCTTGACACCGGTGACACCGCGTTTCTTGGCGTCGATGATGGTTTCCGGGGTCACGGACTCGTGGAGGTACAGCGACATGAGGAAGTTCACATTGGGTTCAATAGCTTGCAGGCGCTTCTTGTAGTCGAGCGCGCGGTCGACGGTTGTCACTGGCGGCACCAGGTTGGGCTAAATTGTTGTTCCAGTCCCATGAGTAACGAATGTATTAGACCGAGGTCCATTGGAATCAATCAATCCCTTACCATGACGAAAACGGTGTTCACACCACCTTGTCTGATCGTAGGCGTAACCAGCTCCATCATGTCACCATCGCGAAGGTGAACTGCGCACCACCCCCTCGGTCAATTACTGCCTCGCAACCGTGGAGTACATTGGGGTAAACGCACCATGGAAGTCGGCCGACGCGGGGAGCTTCGCGCCCTGTAGCTTGGAGAGAGGCATGGCGAAAGTGTTGTTCTAGAAATGAGAATGGAATGCTCGGTCAGAAGAGTCAACTAAAGGGCGGAGAGAGGAAATCACGGACCAGGTCTGAATTACTTTGCAGTCGATGTTCCTGTAGATTTTATGTTGCTTTTTTCCATTTCCCCGCCATGATTTTTTTTTTTCGATTTTAAATCGCGGGGCAGCCTTTGCTTTGATTGGGTGGGGCTCATAAAGTTACTGCCGACCGACCGATAAATTTGAAGTGTACTCCGTACAAAGTACTTCTCGATTGACTGAATTATCACCATGACATATCTGAGATTACTCTTTGGCTGGTGAAGGACCTCATCGAAGGCCGGCATCGCAGTCTCCGCTGTGTGTCCATAGCGTAGACACGATGGTGATTTTCGCACCTTGATGTTACATACTAGTACAAGCTCTCCCCAGACTTCCAGAAGGCCAGAACAGACAAGCAATTCCACCGGACCCAAAGGAACCTGGATGACTTCATGATGACTGTTCCCAGATGATCGGAGAAGTCTACACTCCATCGGTCCAGGCCTCCACCGGTATTGGATATGAAGTGGGCTATACTTTCTAGCTTGGGTCGATTTACCAGAGCGTTCTGGTCTGGAAGCGTCTGGGCCATCGATACGGGCACAATGCAGATGCTATATTACTTAGCTAGTGCTTGGTAACGTCGAAGATAGGCCTCTCGATTGGCGCATGGGGGTCCAAATCTAGGGCCATCAGGGGGTCCAGTTCGCCAGGTAGCACTGCCAAGTAACGCCCTTGGGCGGCGACACCACGAATGAAGTTGACAGCTCTTCTAATCTACTTCGGGGGAACGAAGGGGCTGATATGGGCTAGCCCAAGTAAGCTGGAGCTGGTTGGCTGGCTAATGCGTTGGATATGGGAACACAACAGGGAGAACATGGTAATTGCCTTGACGTAGAGCTGGATCACGGCGATCCTTAATGTGGAGCCATGACAGAGGGCAAACCGGACTAGAATTTCGGTGATGGAACCACACCCCGAAAGACCAATACGAGGGGGGTTTACGTGACAGTGAGCTGGCTCATCTGCTACATCTTGCTGAATAAACGAAGAGGTCAGCCGAGGCAGAACATGGACTCTAGCAGAGGAAGGACGAGGCTTCCAACTGTCTTGTGAGCATTGGGGGAAGACTCTATGAGACGTTCGTCGCGCCGCAGCTGCATCTCACATCAGCCCTAAGTGTCGTTATTGGCTAAACAACGTGATATCGAAGAATCCTGGCATTAAGTCATCTCATATGATGGACTCCTTGGAAGTTGGAGGGCTTCCTCTAATAGGAAAAATATCCCCGGCCCATTCGGAAACGACACATGTCTTGGACTAGTCTCTCAGTCCAATCGTGGCGTCACATTCAAGCAATGCTGACGAGAGCGACGAAGCTAACAAAGCCGTAAAGACTTTGTGCCGCGGCTCTAAAATATGGCTTTCAGTAGTCTGTGATAGCTCCTGGTATTGCCTTTGTTACTGTGGTTGTACCTTTCTCTATTGGACATTAACATGATTTCAACATCCTTCCCCACCAGCATATACATATACCTCGTTTCTGCTCATCACACCGGTCTTCTGATGCTTGAGTTCTCTATGTTTATGGGTGAGCCAGAACGTCAATGGAAGGTGCGCGACTATGGTTGCCACTGATAAGCCTACCGTAACGCCCCAGGAGACGACTACCTTACCCCCGGCGAGTTCGCCAGCTCCCTCTCCCCCAAACGGTGGTCTTGCAGCATGGGTGGGTGTGTTTGCTGGCTTTCTCTTGTTTTTCACCACCTGGGGCTTTTCGACAGCCTACGGCGCCTTCCAACACTTTTACCAGACAGATCTCTTAAGAGATCGCTCACCGCCACAGCTATCGTGGATTGGCACTGTTAATGCCTTCTTTCTGATTTCCACTGGTGTCATCGCTGGCCCATTGTTCGACCGGGGTTTCTTAATCCATCTCATGGTCGCCGGATGCTTCTTGACTACACTTGGGCTTATGATGTTAAGCCTTTCTCAAAAATACTACCAAGTGCTTTTATCCCAGGGTTTCTGCTGTGGAATCGGTAGCGGCCTCATCTACGTGCCTGCCCTGTCTCTAGTGTTAACAAGCTTCACGAGCCGCAAGGGCATTGCCCTCGGCATGGTGACCTGCGGTGCCAGTATTGGTATTTATCGATAACCTGATAGCTTACAGCAACCCCATATTCATGACTAACAAACATCAGGCGGGGTTCTATTTCCCATCATCTTCATACGCTTGCAGCCTCAGATCGGCTTCCCCTGGACGGCGCGAGTTATGGGGTTCATCCAGCTCGGCTGTTCATGTGTTGCGGTTCCTCTACTGATGGCGACCACTAAGCCGAAACGCAGTTCCCCACGCCAATTAATCCATTGGGGTGCGCTCAAGGAGTGGAGCTTCAATGCCTGTGGGGTCGCTAATTTTCTCATGTTCATGGCCTATTTCGTACCACTGTTCTATGTACCTTTCTTTGCCTCGCAGGTCCTCGAGACTTCGACAGAAATGAGCTTCTATCTCGTATCAATCTTGAACGCCGGCTCTGCTGTCGGCCGTTTAGGGTCGGCATTGTTGACGCAACGGCTAGGCGCCGGTTTGATCTTGAGTGTCAGTGTTACCGCATCGGCCGTTTTGATTTTCGGTTGGATAGGCGTCAAGACGCAGGCCTCCTTTATCACGTTTTGTGTATTATTTGGCATCTCCTCTGGGGTTTTGATATCAGCAAATCCTTTGGTGATCGCGCACTCCGTTGTCTCACCCACGCCGGCTATGATTGGGACCCGTATGGGCATGCTGTGGTTTGCAGCGAGCCTGGGAGTGCTGATTGGGGCACCTATTGCGGGCGCATTGAGGGCCATGGCGGAGGAAATGGGTATCTTGGACTGCAGGCATTCAGCGGTGCTGTCATGGCCGGCGGGGGGATCTTCTTGATGGTGCCTCTACTGGCCATCTGGCGGCATGATCGTCATCAGAAAGAGCTAGAATAGTGCAGGGCATCCGCTGAGGTCTAGGAGTTCCGGGCACTATTTCACTGTTCAAGATCAGACCAGAAAGAGGCATTTGAAAAAGCATTTACTATCCCTTTACCTTTTGTTCTGGATCAGAAATTGACAAATATCACCCAGGTTGACAGTTATTCCCGTTTCTTGCAAATATAACATGACTTGAATCATGCAAGCGCCAAGATATACAAAACTAGAAAATTACACAGGAGAAGTACAGTGTATCTAAACAGCTATTAAGGGAATCGACTTCCTTACACTCCCGTCCCTATGAATCTAAAATAATCCACCGACCACGCACTACTAGTACTCTCCTCCATCCCCTCCAAGTTACACAAATAAACACAGAGAAACACAACTTCAATACAGTACATACTATCACCACAACTCCAACCCCTCCCAACAACACGATCTCACCTCCTCACCTGCTCCAACACCTCCACCGTAATGTCCACCGTCCTAAGCACGCCCTCCTGAGTCGAAATCCGCGTCAAACGCCCCAAACTCTCCGTACTCTCATTCTCCCTCTCCCCATTCCTCCGCGAAGAAGTAATATCCGTAACGACTGACGGGGTAATATTACTCAAGCGCGCAGTATCCGTATAATAGCTTGGGCGCAGGTAGTCGGGCTGACGGTTGTCCCTGTATATTACATTAGATGTGGGCCTGACAGTACACAATACTGGGTAGAGAGGCTTGGGGTTAGGTTCCGGAGGAGGAGTATGGTTGATAGCTTTGATAGTGATAGAATGGTAATGTGGATGAGTTGGGCGGCGTAAATGAACTGAAGAGAAGTTGTGTGTAAGTGATTTAAATATCGAGATAGTAGGAGTTTGCTGTACAAGCGGCAGTGCTCAGCTTACTTTGCTGGATTGACGTATCTCAGCCGACGTGAGAGTTTGTATATATCTTCCCAGTCCATGTTGGATGGCCTTTTGCATGAGTACCACCTGGATGATTGACAGTATCTTGGTGAGATATGTAGTTAGGACATGTCACTGTGTATTTGAATCACTCAGACGGGTACTAACTAGAGCCACCCAGATGGAAGTATTGACTGCCGGCCGCCGTTGCTTGAAGTATATCACTGATCCCAGTTTTGCGGCAACAAAGATGAACGTAACGATGAGAAAAGTCACCGAGACAAGAGTGATAAGTGGTCCACGGTTGCCATCTGAGAGGACCTGGTAAGGGGCGTTTGCATTGGACATGGTCAACGGAAGAGGGCACCATAGTTGAGATCGTCAATAGTGGGCCTTGTATAGGGCTAGGTTGATGTATGGTGCGGTATGTCATATTCTCATGTAGACCAAAAGAATTTTTGTTTTTATCTATGCACCTACTGTATTATTACCGACAGCTAGTTGTCCGCCTCATAAGAATGGTTCTACTTCAAACACCCACCGATGAGTTCTAAAGAAGCCAGCTTCCAAAGTCTACGGCGCTTAAGCGTCCATAAGAATGAAGTCGGGCGTGCTTTGTATACATTGAATGGTGGGCAAATGTCTCGGAATCTTTATATGAAACGTGACATGATGAAACAATTCACTACGACTTCAACCACGGAAATTGCACTATATAGACTCTACCTGAATATCCAAGGATTGTGCTTTGACCTTTCACGTTAGAACCCCTCGGAGACTATGTCCCCCCAGATAATCTCGATCTGGGCGGGTCATACAGTCCAAGGCCAATGATTGTGCTTATTGGAACCATGTTGTAGCCGCCTATCATACACTACGAAACCAGGTGGCGTCTTACTGGAGCGTATCATAGGGTGAGGATGGCCCATACTCGTGAAATTTCATGCATCGTGAACGCCTGCCCAGAACAGCCGCTGATTGGTCAACCCGAGTGTATCTCTGCCCATTAAGCGCCCTGGTCAGTCTAGAGCGAGAGCGCATTGACCTATGTTTATTTTACCATGGCCGGGGTGTGGTCGTGCAGAAATCTGCAGAAGCTAATTTGTGCATGAGCGGTTAATCCGAGTCCTTGACTGGTGTGATCTATATTAGGCCATGTCGGCATTTGTTGGACTGGGAATGAATCCACCGATGGATGATCGAGCCAAAAGAACTGCGCCTACAATGTCTCGAGCTGTAATATTTTAAACGCTCCCTGGTTCTCCAGGGTTACAAACTCCTTCCTCATCTCTTATTTGGTTTATTTTCCCAGCCGGTGTGCTCGTCGCTCGCTTTATATTTCTCCTGAGTCCCTCCTTTCTTAGCCTTCGTCCGTTCTTATCTGTAGAGGTTGCAGGCAATTCTCGTCGCCTAATTAATTCGAGATTGTGCAATACTATTCTCGATTATATTGGCTCATATCAATCCCGTATCTTCAGATTGTACTTGATATGGATACCGGCTCCACCAGTTCGGTCTCCTACCATGTGTCCTGCGCGTCAGATGCAGACGAGTCGAAATATCTCACAAGGGTTCAATACCTTCGTTGGGTTCGACTCGCTCTGGGGATTATCATCTTTGGTGTCGCCATCTCCATCATAGGCTGCGAAGCAGTCCCTTTCCAGCACTATCGAGCGACATCAGCATACGGCAAGGTCGGGTTATATCTCTGGCCCTTGAACTTCGACATCCGCCCGACCGTCGCACTGCTGTCCTGCGGCTGCATCATTGCATTCCTGAATCTGGCATACACCGTCATCGCTCTTCTTCCTTCTGTGAGTACCTCTGTCTCATGCTCACAAGTTTATCACTACCCAACTCATCTTGCTGACCACCCCCAGCCCCACGCACATATCAGACGGCAAAACGTCGCCGCCACAGCCATCGCCGTCTCGGGATTTCTCACGGTGGTAGTGGGACTCGCGTTCGCCATCCATCTCCCGGGATCGAATCCCCCAAACGGGTTCTCGGAAGTAGAAACCCTCCATTCGTGGACCTGCAAGTGGAAAACCGTGCATGGGTCACTGTCGCCCAAGGTTGATGACACCGTCACCCCGCCGCCGGCTCATTTTGCGCGTGACTGTGCGCTCACCCGGGCATCGTTTATCCTGACAGGACTGGCTGTCGGGCTGACGATCCTCATGGGACTGGCCGCTGGTGTTGGGGTTTGGTTTGAGAGAAGTGTCTCCAAACAGCGAGGGCAGGATACTTCTCCGCTGCGGAAGGTGAATATCATGGCGAAGTATCCAGGTACCTGAGGATTCTGTGTTGGGATTAATTAGGGAATGCGTAGTTTGAGACCGATTGGCACATACTGCTGGATTCATCGTTGTGCCGGAGGAGAAGGGCCGGG